TCGAGGTCATATAGGGGCCTTAATAATTACCTATACTATGTTGGGGGGTCCTTGTTATAATTCTTTTATAATAGACCCAAAAACCCTTTTCTATTTGTTTAAGGCCCCTACATTACGGAGCCAGAGGGTGCTATCGTTTTAGCTCAAGGTCTGTCTCTCTCTCTCTCTCTCTCTCTCTCTCTGGGGTTTTACATGGCGGGCTCTCGTGGGTTGTGAGATGAGATCTTGCAGGGTTACTTTGCAGGCTTAGGAAGGGATCTTGTAAGGTACATTCCCAGACCCTAAACCCTAAACCGTACACCCACAACCCTCAACCCTAAACCCTAAACCCTAAACCCTCAACCCTAAACCCTAAACCCTCAGCCCTATTCCCAGACCCCGCAAAGTCTACAGTACCCTTTGGTATAGAGTCCTAGATTACGGGGCTCTGCTTCCTAGATCCTCGCGGGGGTCTGGGTTCAGGGTCTAACGTATGGGGATCTGGTTGAATCTTTTAGACTTGAATTCGCCGAGGTTCTTCGAGGTTCATTGGCTCTTAGGTCCTTATGATGGTCTTGAGGGTGTAGGGTTTAGGGTTTAGGGTTAAGTCTTAAACGATTTCCGCGAACTTGGACAGAGCTTGGGTGTCCAACCCTTAAGAACCGTTTCGGGAGCCTAAACCCAAAACCCTAAACCCTAAACCCTGAACCCTAAACCCTAAACCCTAAACCCTAAATCCTAAACTCTAAACCCTAAACCCTAAACCCTAAACTTCCGTAAAGGAACCCCCAAAGAGCCTTCAGCTCTATCCGGGCCCCCTCCCGCAGCTGCAGGGTTTAGGTTTTAGGGTTTAGGGTTAGGGTTCCAGGATTCAAGGGTTTGCAGTCCCAGGCACAGGCACGAGGGGAGGACCTCCCGAACTTCGCGCACCACCTCCTGCGCAAGCTATCGAAACTTCCTTTAAAAGGTGGGTTTAGGGTTTAGGGTTTAGGGTTTAGGTTTAGGGTTTAGGGTTTAACTTGCTTTAGAAGGGGGGGTTACCACACCTGAGAACCTATTCCCCATAGTCAAGTGCAGTTCTGACTCGTCCGGTATCCTAAGCGAACGAAAGGTCAAACTTCAGGAGTACATATGTAGGGATTCTAGTAGCTCCAGAAGGTGTAACGGTCACCTCCACCTTGAAGACTTCCTCCATAAGGGTCCGCGTGCCCCTGTCAAAAGGGAACATCTGAACACCTTCTATACCAGTGTTCCTTTTTTCATGACCTTTACAGAACCCCTTTCACCCCCTACCAAAGCCCCTTGCAAGACATCTAAGACCCTCAGGGATCACTCGAAGAGCCCTTCGAGAACCCCTAAACCCTAAAGCCTTCGAGAACCCCTAAACCATGAAGCTGGAAACCCCTGAACCCTACCCCGACAAAAAGCCCTAAACCCTAAACCCTAAACCCTAAACCCTAAACCCTAAACCCTAAACCCTAAACCCTAAACCCTAAACCCCAGACCAAACCCCAACAAAAACGGGGCCCAACGAAAATGTCCCAGTGCCTGGGCGAAGATCTTCCAGAAAGGAGGTGTCGCAGCACCTTCGAAGGCGTGGTTTTTGTCGGGTGTTGTTTGAAGTTTTGGGTTTAGGGTTTTAGGGCCCAGGGGTTTAGGGGTTAGGGGCTTAGTGTTTAGGGTTGAGGGTTTAGGGTTTAGGGTTTAGGGTCTGGGGTATGGGGATGTGCTCTCGTTCCCTTTCGGGTTCCTCTTCGGGTTGTTGGTGGGAGTCAGGTTTAGGGGCTTCCAGTTGAGCGGCTAGGTTTTGGGGACTGTAGGAAGCTTAGGG